ACTCACACCGCTAAATCTGTGCTCTTAGGGTTATGCTGGGTAAAGTCGCCCACCCTTCAAATAGTTGCCAAGGTTGAGGAACCCTGGGCTAGAGGACCTTGACCTTAACTTGAACTCTATGATTCTATGTGCTTGTTCTTCTTAAAAAACAACAACATTGATTTAAATTATTTGTACTGTGGGAAACAGTTATTAAAAATTTAAAGTAGGATTTCTAGAAGTGTGGTCTTTTAATTCAGATAAACTGCTGATAGAGGAAAAGGATCGCTTTTTGCCATAATATGATTGTTTGTCAAACATCTTGCACCCCCTCCCCCAAAACAGGCTTCCCCCACCTGAGGGTCTCCCATATGGCATGATGTGTAGGGGTCCCAACGCACCTGTCCTCCAGGAGTTCAAGACCACTTCCACGGATAATAATAATATTATTACCCAAAGAGGTAGGGTGAGCCCAGAGGCACCCTCTGAGCATCTGTGGCTGAGCGCAATGAACCTGGCTCTCCTTCCACTGGGTGGGAGTCAAAGAAGTCAACATGGCAGCTGCAACCTTCCTATCAAAGCCCTGCCTTCTTTTACACGCATCATGCTCAGCCACCATCTTGACTTTTGTGATCCACATGGACACTTCTGGTCTCCCCGGTCTCCTTCCACCACCCAAATCACTACAGCCGACTGCCTGTGAATTCTGAAGGCTGCAATCATAACACGTGAGGAGATCATCTTGGGCCGGTCCCTCACCGCCTCCACCACCCTAAGAACACACACAGGCTGTGTGAGATCACATGAGGGCATTCACCCAATGTGATTCTTGGGTAATTTTAACTAGTGGGTAGTGGTGGTGAACAGTTATGTGCGTACTTTACGACATGGTATGAACTCAACCCCTTTGCGTAGCTTACTGAATTGCACCAACCCAGAAAAGGAGTTAACTCAGTAACCAGGATAAGCAAGGTATGGATGCAACAGCAGCTCTTCTAAATCAGGAGGAGCCCAAAGGACGGCGACACACATCCGTGGCCAGCAGAAGAGGCTCCTGTACCCAAGACTCTTCCTCGGATGCCCTTCATTACTCACCACATGCCATCCTCTGCGCAAGACACTCACCAACATGGCAGGACGGAACATCGATGAACCCTTTCAGGAAGTTGCCCAAAGGACTGTTCTCCACCGACTGGGGCAGGTGGGGGGAGAGAGAGAGAGAAAAGAGGAGGGCAGAAACGTTAAAATGCGAAAGAGCTCTGGTGTATTCTTAATAGTGCCACTTCTGTTCACTGGCCGTTCTGGTATCTTTTAAACCAGTGTTTTTCAGCCTGGCTGGCTGGGGAATTCTGGGAGTTGAAGTCCACACATCTTACAGTTGCCAAGGTTGAAAAACATCATTGTAAACGAACATAGGCTGCAGCCTTTAAACAGGATAACTGCTGGGGGGGGGGGGTTCAAAAAACTTCTAGGGGGTTGCCCTTCCCCTGAACTTTCTTCTTCCACAAAGAGGCTCCCCTCTTGACTGAGCTATTTGCACCCCCTCCTCAAAAGGATAGGACTGTGCCAGAGTAATCTTCTCCATCTTGGGTCCCTGTAGATGTGATGGGTAGAGGGGAAGGGTGATGGGAGTGCTACGAAACATTTGGGAAAAACTGGAACTCACCGCTTCGTCCTGCTCCGGCATGGAGGCACTCATGATCTCCTCCACATAGTTAGCAGGAAACCAGAGTTGCTTCTTCCCGCCATAGTCCCCTCGCCACCTGGAAGGGATAATGGGAGCAAGGCTGGCAGACGGATTTGGGGATTATTAAAGGTGACAACACAGCACACAATGGCAGGATAGGTAACCAGGGCAAGACAACACATCTTGCCCAGCACAGCCCCAGGCGCACCAATAGTGGACCTTCGATTAGGGGATGCAAGACTTGGCCATCTCTCTCCTGACTTGGAGGGTGACGCTAAAACAGCCTGAGAATCACGTGTGTAAAAAACAGGTGAAGCTTCAGTCACACCACCGTGGCTACCAGCTTGATTTTTTTTGCCCACGACTTGCAGATACCCCTGCTGAGATCCTAGGTCTTCCAGATGCAATGGGTCCACCCTTCCTAAATTCCTCACCAGCAGGTCCCAGGAAGAGCTCCAGGCTGGGGAAAGCTGTTCTGCAGGATTCATTCCATGGAAGGTATTCACCCTAAACCCCTAAACCATTTCTCCAACGATTTTATCTCCCAAAGCTTTTCCCATGGCTGAAATCTGGGTTCAGACCCTGCGCCCTACTAGAGGCTCCAGCCGTTCTCCTGATCCCTCTGGCCTCTCCCTCCATTCTTTTCCTGGTAAGCATAGACCGTTTACCACATGAACTGGTGCAACTATATTTACAGCCAACCATAGCTTAATTCCAGATCAGAAAAGGGAGGATGAAATGGATAATGACTGAAAGGCAAATGAAAGACAACAATTTTCCTGCCATCTTCTTGTAGCACCATTAAAACGATGCTTCCACACAGGAAGGGTTACATCAGGCTATTGTGCAGCCATTATCCACAAGCAACATTCCCTGTGACATATTTTAATTCCTGTCACTTGGGCACGCTGGTCCCATTTATCAGTTCCTTTCCAGAACAGTGGCACTGCAGGGCATTAGCCAAGAATACCCGCTGAAGGTGTGTTTCTAGGTGCCCGAGGGTTTTAAAAAGGGGGAAAAAACACGGGGAGGAAATTAGCAAAGCTTCAGTCATGCACCCCCAAGGTGCTTCGGGCCCCTTCCTTGCTGGGCTGAGATTCCTGGCTGCTTTGGGGCTGTCCAGCGAAGGCAACTTGGAGTTGCTGCCCTCCAAATTCAGCTGTGACTCACCATCCGCCATCTTGTTTGTCAACGTTATGAATGATGGCTTGCTTGCAGAATGAGAGCTCGTCTTCTCGCTGGGCTTTGTAGTCATACAAGGCCTTCACGGTACACTGCAAAGCAAAGCAAGTCTGTGCCAGGTTTGGGTGAAAGATGGCGTGCCCCAAATTCAGAGTCACGGGGCCTGTGTAGATCAGACCCACGACGTCTTGGCTTCTGCAGTGCACGTTTTTCTGCTTACAAGACTCGGGGGTTTAAAGAACGCTGAATGCGTTTTTTCCTCCCTAAGGACTGGGGTGACGGGAGGGAAGGAGGTCACAAATAGAGCTGTGGCTGGAAGGAGTGCAAGGAAGTGCAGACACAGGAATAAGGGAAAAGAGGAGGGGCCTTGTAAAGTCTCCTTTCTCCTGGTCACCAGAAGCCCAATCATTCTCCCCGACTCCCACCCCGTCACCCCAGAGCAGCTGTATACTGTAAATCAGTGTTTCTCAACCTTGGGAACTTTTAAGACGTGTGGACTTCAACTCCCAGGATTCCCCAGCCAG